TGATTCCAGCAGGGTCTTCCCACTTCCTGCGCCCGCCCGCCCCTCGGTATTGTTTTTCTCGGTGCTGGGGGGTTTTTAGCCTGGGGAAAGGGAGGGTCAGGGGGGATCTTATCGCTCTCTGCAACTCCCTGGAAGGAGGGTGTAGCCAGGTGGAGGCCGGGCGGTGCTCCCGTGTAACAAACGATAGGACGAAGGGACACAGTCTTAAGCTGCACCAGAGAAAGTTTAGTTTGGAGATTAGGAAGCAATTCTTCGCAGAAAGGGTGATTAGACATTGGAACGGGCTGCCCAGGGGAGTGCCGGAGTCACCGTCCCCAGAGGTGTTTTAGGAAAGACTGGACGTGGCACTCGGTGCTCTGGGCTGGGTGACGAGGTGGGGATCGGCCACAGCTTGGGCTCGATGATCTCAGAGGTCGTTTCCAAACTAATTGATCGTGTGATTCCTGTCGTGTCCTGGGATTCCTTTAGCCTTTATAGAGAGCTGGGTAAAGAGCTCTCTGCTTTTAAAATGCAGTAATTCCAACAGAGTGCCTCGCTCTGTGATGCCGTTAAGAGCAGCAGTTCCAGAGGTTGCCTCCCTCGGTGGTGGGCACCATACCGTGCTCAGAAAACACTTGTCCTTCCTCTTTTCCTGCAGATGGAGGAACTCGTCCATCACAGCCTGCTGCCCCTAATGAGTTCTCCTCTCCCTTTCCAGGTATGGCCTCACAGCTGCAGGTGTTCTCCCCTCCGTCAGTATCCTCGAGTGCCTTCTGCAGTGCCAAGAAACTGAAAGTGGAGCCGTCTGTCTGGGATGTTTCAGGACAGAGCAGTAGTGACAAGTATTATACCCACAGCAAAAACCTCCCAGCAGCTCAAGGGCAAGCCAGCTCCTCTCATCAGGTAGCCAATTTCAGCATCCCTGCCTACGACCAGAACCTCCTTCTCCCCGCTCCCTCCGTCGAGCACATCGTGGTCACCGCGGCCGACAGCACCGGCAGCAGCGCCACCGCCTCCTTCCAGAGCAGCCAGACCCTCTCACACAGGAGCAACGTTTCTTTGCTGGAACCATACCAAAAATGTGGATTAAAAAGGAAAAGTGAGGAGGTCGACAGCAACGGTAGTGTGCAGATCATTGAGGAACATCCACCTCTCATGCTGCAAAACAGACCTGCGGTGGGTGCTGCGGCCACGACCACCACGGTCACCACGAAAAGCAGCAGCTCCAGTGGGGAGGGGGATTATCAGCTGGTCCAGCATGAGATCCTGTGCTCTATGACAAACAGCTACGAGGTCCTGGAGTTCCTGGGGCGGGGGACGTTCGGGCAGGTGGCGAAATGCTGGAAACGTAGCACGAAGGAGATCGTAGCCATCAAAATCCTGAAGAACCACCCGTCGTACGCCCGGCAGGGCCAGATCGAGG